GTAGTACCAGAAACGTTACTGGTACATGCCTTCAGCGGATCATGTAGTACCAGAAACGTGACCGGTACATGCCTTGAGCAGATCATGTAGTACCAGAAAAGTGACTGTTACATGTCTTCAGCAGATCATGGAGTACCAGAAACGTGACAGGTACATGCCTTCAGAGGATCATGTAGTACCAGAAACGTGACCGGTACATGCCTTCAGCAGATCATGTAGTACCAGAAAATTGGCAGGTACATACCTTCAACGGATCATGTAGTACCAGAAACGTGACCGGTACATACCTTCAGCGGATCATATAGTACCAGAAACGTGAAAGGAACATACCTTCAGCAGATCATACAGTACCAGAAACGTGACAGGTACATACCTTCAGCGGATCATGTAGTGCCAGAAACGTCACCAGTACATGCCTCCAGCAGATCATGTAGTACCAGAAACGTGACCGGTACATGCCTTCTGCGGATCATGAAGTACCAGAAACGTGACCGGTACATGCCTTCAGCAGATCATATACTGCCAGAAACGTGACACGTACATGTCTTCAGCGGATCATATAGTACCAGAAACGTGACAGGTACATGCCTTCAGTAGATCATATAGTACCAGAGACGTGACCGGTACATGCCTTCAGCGGATCATGAAGTACCACAAACGTGACAGGTACATGCCTTCAGCAGTTCAAGTAGTACCAGAAACGTGACCGGTACATGCCTTCAGCGGATCATGTAGTACCAGAAACGTGACTGGTACATACCTTCAGCGGATCATGTAGTACCAGAAACGTGACCAGTACATGCCTTCAGCAGATCATGTAGTACCAGAAACGTGACCGGTACATGCCTTCTGCGGATCATGAAGTACCAGAAACGTGACCGGTACATGCCTTCAGCAGATCATATAGTGCCAGAAACGTGACACGTACATGCCTTCAGCGGATCATATAGTACCAGAAACGTGACAGGTATATGCCTTCAGCAGATCATATAGTACCAGAGACGTGACCGGTACATGCCATCAGCGGATCATGAAGTACCACAAACGTGACAGGTACATGTCTTCAGCACTTCAAGTAGTACCAGAAACGTGACCGGTACATGCCTTCAGCGGACCATAAAGTACCAGAAACGTGACTGTTAGATGCCTTCAGCAGATCATACAGTACCAGAAACGTGACTGGTACATACCTTCAGCGGATCATGTAGTACCAGAAACGTGACATGTACATACCTTCAGCAGATCATATAGTACCAGAAACGTGAAAGGAAGATACCTTCAGCAGATCATACAGTACCAGAAACGTGACTGGTACATACCTTCAGCGGATCATGTAGTGCCATAAACGTGACCAGTACATGCCTTCAGCGGATCATGTAGTACCAGAAACGTGACCTGTACATGCCTTCTGCGGATCATGAATTACCAGAAACGTGACCGGTACATGCCTTCAGCAGATCATATAGTGCCAGAAACGTGACACGTACATGCCTTCAGCGGATCATATAGTACCGGAAACGTGACCGGTACATGCCTTCAGCAGATCATATAGTACCAGAGACGTGACCGGTTCATGCCTTCAGCGGATCATGAAGTACCACAAACGTGACAGGTACATGCCTTCAGCAGTTCAAGTAGTACCAGAAACGTGACAGGTACATGCCTTCAGCGGATCATGTAGTACCAGAAACTTGACAGGTACATACCTTCAGCGGATCATGTAGTCCCAGAAACGTGACCGGTACATGCCTTCAGCAGATCATGTAGTACCAGAAACTCGGCCGGTACATGCCTTCAGCGGATCATGTAGTACCCGAAACTCGAACGGTACATACCTTCAGCAGATGATGTAGTACCAGAAACGTGACCAGTACATGCCTTCAGCAGATCATGTAGTACCCGAAACTCGACCGGTACATACCTTCAACGGATCTTGTAGTACCAGAAACGTGACCGGTATATACCTTCAGCGGATCATGTAGTACCAGAAACGTGACCGGTACATGCCTTCAGCAGATCATGTAGTACCAGAAACGTGACCGGTACATGCCTTCAACGGATCATGTAGTGCCAGAAACGTGACAGGTACATACCTTCAGCAGATCATGTAGTACCAGAAACGTGACCGGTACATGCCTTCAGCAGATCATGTAGTACCAGAAACGTGACCGGTACATGCCTTCAGCGGATCATGAGGTACCACAAACGTGACAGGTACATGCCTTCAGCGGATCATGTAGTACCAGAAATGTGACCGGTACATGCCTTCAGCGGATCATGAAGTACCACAAACGTGACAGGTACATGCCTTCAGCAGATCATGAAGTACCAGAAACGTGACTTGTACATACCTTCAGCGGATCATATAGTACCAGAAACGTGACATGTACATACCTTCAGCAGATCATGTAGTACCAGAAACGTGACCGGTACATGCCTTCAGCTAATCATGTAGTACCAGAAACGTGACCGGTATATACCTTCAGCAGATCATGTAGTACCAGAAACGTGACTGGTACATGCCTTCAGCAGATCATGTAGTACCAGAAACGTGACCGGTACATGCCTTCAACGGATCATGTAGTGCTAGAAACGTGACAGGTACATACCTTCAGCGGATCATGTAGTACCAGAAACGTGACCGGTACATGCCTTCAGCAGATCATGAAGTACCAGAAACGTGACAGGTACATGCCTTCAGCGGATCATGTAGTACCAGAAACGTGACCGGTACATGCCTTCAGCGGATCATGAAGTTTCACAAACGTGACAGGTACATGCCTTCAGCAGATCATGAAGTACCAGAAACGTGACTGGTACATACCTTCAGCGGATCATGTAGTACCAGAAACGTGACCGGTACATACCTTCAGCAGATCATGTAGTACCAGAAACGTGACTGGTACCTGCCTTCAGCAGATCATGTAGTACCAGAAACGTGACAGGTACATACCTTCAGCGGATCATGAAGTACCAGAAATGTGACAGGTACATGCCTTCAGCGGATCATGTAGTACCAGAAACGTGACCGGTACATGCCTTCAGCGGATCATGTAGTACGAGAAACGTGACAGGTACATGCCTTCAGCGGATCATGTAGTACCAGAAACATGACCGGTACATGCCTTCAGCAGATCATGTAGTACCAGAAAAGTGACTGGTACATACCTTCAGCGGATCATGTAGTGCCAGAAACCTGACAGGTACATGCCTTCAGCGGATCATGTAGTACCAGAAACGTGACCGGTACATGCCTTCCACGGATCATGTAGTACCAGAAACGTGACCGGTACATGCCTTCAGCGGATCATGTAGTACCAGAAACGTGACTGGTACATACCTTTAGCGGATCATGTAGTACCAGAAACGTGACAGGTACATGCCTTCAGCAGATCATGTAGTACCAGAAACGTGACCGGTACATACCTTCAGCAGATGATGCAGTACCAGAAACGTGACATGTACATGCCTTCAGCGGATCATGTAGTACCAGAAACGTGACCGGTACATGCCTTCAGCAGATCATGTATTACCCGAAACTCGACCGGTACATGCCTTCAGCGGATCATGTAGTACCAGAAACGTGACTGGTACGTACCTTCAGCGGATCATATAGTGCCAGAAACGTGACAGGTACATACCTTCAGCGGATCATGTAGTACCAGAAACGTGACCAGTACATGCCTTCAGCAGATCATGTAGTACCAGAAACGTGACCGGTACATGCCTTCAGCAGATCATGTAGTACCAGAAAAGTGACTGGTACATACCTTCAGCGGATCATGTAGTACCAGAAACGTGACTGGTACATACCTTCAGCAGATGATGCAGTGCCAGAAACGTGACATGTACATGCCTTCAGCGGATCATGTAGTACCAGAAACGTGACCGGTACATGCCTTCAGCAGATCATGTATTACCCGAAACTCGACCGGTACATGCCTTCAGCGGATCATGTAGTACCAGAAACGTGACTGGTACGTACCTTCAGCGGATCATGTAGTACCCGAAACTCGACCGGTACATGCCTTCTGCGGATCATGTAGTACCAGAAACGTGACCGGTACATACCTTCAGCGGATCATGTAGTACCAGAAACGTGACCGGTACATACCTTCAGCAGATCATGTAGTACCAGAAACTCGACCGGTACATGTCTTCAGCGGATCATGTAGTACCAGAAACGTGACCGTTACATACCTTCAGCAGATCATGTAGTACCAGAAACGTGACCGGTACATGCCTTCAGCAGATCATGTAGTACCAGAAACGTGACCGGTACATACCTTCAGCAGATCATGAAGTACCCGAAACTCGACCGGTACATGCCTTCAGCGGATCATGTAGTACCAGAAACGTGATCGGTAGATGCCTTCAGCGGATCATGTAGTACCAGAAACGTGACCGGTACATACCTTCAGCAGATCATGTAGTACCAGAAACGTGATAGGAATATACCTTCAGGAGATCATGTAGTAACTAAAATGTTGTCATCAGCACTTTGGTCTCATTTTATGAGTTGAGTTGAGTTGGGCTTTACGTCATTTTATGAGATCCAGTGAAATGTTTCAGAGTAGCTTAATACTCGATCACCATTAACAAACTTGCCTAAAAGTGGAAGTATTCTTTGCCTGACGCTACGAAGCATTCCTTCTGTGCAACGGCGGCCTGTAAACAAACCAGACAATCAAGTGATTGCTGAATCGGGTGGTCAGTGATTGGATGGTCTGCTGGGGAGCAGTAGGGAAAACTCAGTCGTTTAAATACTGCACATTTTTATTCTTTATATACTGAAAATACAAGCAGACTCGTCCACATATTCGTCCGTCTTTCCACAGCCAATTCGCGAGATACACTTTCCTTTTCAACATTCTTGAGAACATTTGTATTAATTATCACTGTTCTCGTGCTGTTTACTGGATTTTGACTTACTTTATGATAAACTGAATTATTTTAGATGGGTTGCTAAAGACCAGAGATGTTTGTTTTGTGTGTTTCAGATGGCTGCAAATCCCTGTTTTAATGGGGGAACATATGTCAACAGCATGTGTTCCTGTGTGTGGGGTTTCGCTGGGACAACGTGTGAGAGAATAGTTAGAAGTAAGTGAAAGTTGAGGCTATCAATGGAATTCCTGTTTTGCACACGGCACCAGCATCATAACTACAAGCAAGGTAGTAGGGTTTTAGGTGCTAAATCTAGACCTGTAACAGTAACATGCATTTTGCAGTTCATTTTTTAATCACAAATCGTATGATATTGTTACGAGGTGATTTTAGGTATTAAGTTTTCAGGTGATAAAGGTAGGCCTGTATTTTTAAGCCATCATTTTTCATTTAAGTATTAAGTACAGGTCATAGCATACTGTTACGGGGTGATTTAAATATTAAGTATTCAGGTGATAAAGGTAGGCCTGTACTTTTAAGCCATCATTTTTCATTTAAGTATTAAGTACAGGTCATAACATACTGTTACGGGGTGATTTAAGTATTAAGTATTCAGGTGATAAAGGTAGCCCTGCGTACCGTTGTAGAAAACAACCTTAGCGCTGAGACTGCTATAAGTCTATGTTAAGATATAGGAGTTACGGTCACCTTAGTGCTAAGCTTGCTGTGTAACCACTAGCCTACCCCACAGCCCCTAAAGAAGATGAAGCGACCAAGAATCTGTCAGCTACGAAACTGACGAAACTACGATAATAGTCGGTCCTACAAATGAAGGATAAAGGCGGATAACTCTGAATTAATCCTTGACATTTTATGAGTGCTTCATTATTTTCTGGCACTTACAATTAATCTTTTGCCACATTATATATTTTGTCAACTTATAACCTCGAAATACCTGTACTTCATGTGACCGCAAACGGCAGTTGTTCAGAGGGAGGTTTGCGTTTATTCATATGAAATCTTAATTCGTTTTTGGAAGCAAGATAAGGTAAAAAGTGGAATGCATAATATACTGATGTACAAAAGAATGTGCACACCTGGTGTTTTGAGACAATTAAAAAATGTAAATGTTTGCTAGCAATGTTCCAATTGGGTACGATATCTATGGTGGTATTGCAACACGTACACAATGTTTGTGAAATGAGAGTCACAATCAAATCACTTTTTCTAAATATTACGCTGTTTTTAGGAAAACATTTTACCAAAGCATCAGGTGTGTACTGTTTTTGTTCGTCAGTTTCTATATATGTTGTAATTCAAGCTTCCTGATTTCGAGCAGACCATATTAAGGATACATGTATACATCTTCAAAAGACAAGGCTTTAAATCTCCTGTCCACTGAACGCCCGCGCTCCGGGAAGATGATATGTATATTGTATTAGGGCTTCCATATTTAATTCTGTGTTTCTCATCTCCCTCCGCCCGTAAAAATCCCACCCGCCTATACAATAAAAAATATATTTTTATTTCTAAACTTTGCACCGACCGTTCTCAATTGTACACCGCCCATTGAAAAAAACAAACGTTTCAAGACAAGATAAAATAAAATTGAAAAACGAATCTTCAGCAAGTATTTAAATGGAAGCAACTCTCGCATCTTTACTCCCTGTCACGATTTAGGATTCACATCCACTAATATTTACGATCCGACAATGTTAGGAGTTCGCGATTTTTCACGCACGAATATGGCGGTCAACTCCACAATATCGTGTATCACTGGTAGGGAACTTGGTTACAGTGAGAGTGGAGTCTTTGTGAGTTTTGGGACAGAAACTTTATGATTTGTGACAGAGTCTTTGTGATTATAGCATCTGCAAGGCGAGGGTGAGGTACAATAGATGTCCAGTAGACGTCCACAATCAACTTTATAAGGGAATTAATTCAACTTTTACCTCAATGCTATCTTCCTCAGGAACGAATGTACCTATATTACTCTGAAAACCCTTGATAATCATGTAAAGTAATAAATTAAGATTTTCATAATTTCTTTATACTGAATTCATATATTTGAAAAAAAAATGATTGAAGGAATTATTGTGGCATGCAAAGTCACAATGATGATTGGGTTTATTGCCCACTATAAAAAGCATCTGCTGTTTAATCAGCGAAAAGAGGACACATATCTAAAACACTGAATAGCTCTATAGTGAAAGAAAATTTGCGATTATGAAATTGATGTAACGGGAAATTCATTCTTAGTCACAGATAATTCACAATCCCAAAAATGGAATTGAGGGGACACAATTTCTAAAATCTTGTTCATGAATCGGAATTGGACGTTTCTATTAATGTATCTGTGGTGTCTAAAGATCATCTGAATGTTTGAAGCTATAATTCGAGGTGATTTAAACTGAATGTAAAATGTTCATATTGCGTCTCTCAACAGTTCCATGTCAGAACAATGTTGACTAGAACATCCTAAGTGGCATTTAATCGATAATAGAATGTCACTCACTCTTACCTTCGATTATGGCCGTTCGATCTATAAGCTTTATTGTATTGTAAATTCAGGCTGCAGAGAGGCATACCTCCTTGGGGTACGTGGAAAGGGCTTCTATGAAATTCAACCGTTCGGCTCCCCTATCACCTACACAGTATATTGCAACTGTGAGTGGGTCGGCACCATCTACGCCTTCAAGAGAATCATCCCCCCTCCCTCATCATGTCAACCTATAAACTACAACAAAACGTGGGAGGAATACAAAACAGGTTTCGGCGACATCAACTGCGAATACTTCCTCGGACTGGAGACAATCTACCAACTGAACACGTACGAAAGATACCAATGGAATATATACAACATGGTCGACGGGAAGCCGTCTCCAGCAGCAAGCATCTACCTTGAAAGCACAGATCTCCAAAATGAGGCGAATGGTTATAGTATCAATTTTATTCGAGTTTTCACCAAAACTTGGGAACACGGAGACGACGCGTTTGACAACAGCCAGAAGCCGAGATCCTTCTGTACCTTTGATCGGGATTGTGGTGGGTGTGCCGGTCAAGTTGGAGGGGGGTGGTGGTTCAATAGCAGCTGTGGGGGAGGGGCGATCACTGCTACACCCGATAAGATGTACTGGCCAGTCAACGGAGTCGACAAGGTCATCAACGAGACGTATATACAGCTGGATCACATGTTATACTACTAAGGCCCAATTCATTTTCCATGTGTACGATTTGGAAATATGCATTTATTCATTTGTTGGAAGAGAACAGAACTTCTTGGGCCTAACAGTTTTGATGGAGTAAGTTGTGTCAAGGAACTTAATACTGAGTTATGAACCTCACATAGAAAGAGTTGACCTGAAGACATTAAAACGATATCATATTTAACATAATTAACTTAAAATTCGTAACTACGTTTTCAAGAATCTCCTAGCTGCCCGCGTTTTAGGGTTCCTTGCCTCTTGCCTCAAAATTAATTCCACAATTTCAAAGTTTGACAGCAAATATCTCAAGAACTAATTGTTCCAACACTTCGAAATCTCTTGTACAGATGCACAATCGAATTCCCAACAATTTTGCCTGGACGGGTCAAGTCGCTAAATTGTACCGTTTGGCAGTTATTTTTGTTTTCAGTTTTTGACCATGTTTTTCAGCAGTTTTCTGAGTAGTTTGCTCCTAAAATGTGCAAATTCTGTACAATAGATGAAGGCTTGGTGATTCCAGAACACTAATTGTTTTTAGACCGTAGGCCCAAGAACAACTGAGATAAAGAGGGAACTATTTCTTCTCCAGAACTTCTTACCCCGGCTGTATTTGGTTGATCCGCTCGCCTGTCAAAAACGTGTTATGGCTCCGTTTTGGACGATTTCTAGCCCTCAAATACAATTCAAACACCCGTAACTCTCAAACCAACAGTCCGATTTCGACCAAAATGTACCTGTACAAGTGGGCTATTAGTGTCGATTATAACTACTGAATGCAGTAATGTATCTCCAAAGACTAGCAGTGAAATGATTCATATTAACTAAAACTATTACAACTTTCATCAAATATGTGACAGACACATTAGGCTAGATAGAACTAAAGCCAAGGAGCCCACATCGTTGCTTGCAACTATATTTTTAACATATTTTCAGCTTCCAGATGTTGTTGTTTTCAAACTATAAACCTAAAGAATTTTTTAAAGCATATTGCAACACCTTTGTGAAAAACACAGTTTCTTGTTTATTCAAATGTTAGATTTTTTAAAACAATTTGTTAGTGGGGGAGCAATGATATCATGTTTTAATGATTGCAACATACTTCTAAGTAATTACTGGATGACGACTCCAATTTCACAGCAGAGGCTAATGTAGCCATTATGACCTCCACATGTATTCCGTCGTCATAGCATTGTGACGTCATAAGCATTGTGACGTCATGGGCACAGTTAACAGTGAATGTTCATTAGTTTTACCTGATGATGGGGGCCGGAACAGGCCCCGTATCAAAAAATAAAAAGAAGATGAAATCCAGAACATTCTTTATGTTCGCAATACAAACAGCTCTAAAATATATAGATAACAAGTCAAAGTATAAACAGTTCATCATATTTTCAGATTCGCTTTGATGTCTTCAGGCTATTAAACATGTCTTCTACACATCCACATTTAGCTGAAATGATTGAATTATTCAATATTCTCGCTACTGTCCAATACGACTTTTTTGGTTGGTTACCGAGCCATGTTTAAATGTCTGGTAACACTAAGGCTGATGCTGCAGCTAAAGCAGCTCTCAGCTAATTTGTTTAATAGATGTTACATTACAGATCTAATACAAAAGAAATGGGACATCCAAAAGCAACATGAAACTAAACCAGCTATCGTTACACCTACTTGGGTTGGCAGTCCAGATTTGAAGAATCCATTATATGACGTTGTCCTTATTGACCATTCACGACGATGTTCACATAATACTTATTGAAAGGTGAGGATCCTCCATTTTGTATCCTCTGTGATGAAAGAATCCGGGACAAGCATGTTCATCTTGATTGTGTGTATTTGTCGATAACAAGGGATACATATTTCAGTGTGAAAACAGTCCAGGATAATGTTAGTTGTTATTTATTTATTGTTTTTTTAGAAGAAATAGAATTGTTTGAAAAATGTTGATAAATATGTTTTTGTAAATAGACAAATAGCGCAATCGCCAACGGTAGAAGGGATGATGTAAATCCAGCTAGGGTCCATGCAGGAAGCAAACGTTCTGTAAGACCCCATGGTCCCCAGTATGGTGATTTACCTTCAATAGTTGGCGATCTTTAGCCTGTATGTATTGTATTGTCTGTAATATTAGATTTACATGCGAGTTTTACATCTAACTCTGTGATATTCCAGTTGTTTGTATTGCCCTTCGTCCACAGGTGTGTTTATATATTCTGAGTGTAAGTGTTATAAATGTATAACTTGTTTTAGTCACGATATTGTTGAAATACTGGCGATGTGACAAACTCCTCACTCACCCTCCATCTTCATGCTCAGTGTCGTTATAACTTCCGCTCTCCCTCTCTCACACCAACACTCCCTCTCACGCTCCCTGTAATGCGCTCCCTCTCTCTCACACACACTCCCTCTCACACTCCCTGTAATGCTCTCCCTCTCTCACATACACACTCACTGTAATGCTCTCCCTCTCTCACACCAACACTCCCTCTCACACTCCCTGTAATGCTCTCCCTCTCTCTCACACACGCTCCCTCTCACACTCCCTGTAATGCTCTCCCTCTCTCACACACACGCTCCCTCTCACGCTCCCTGTAATGCTCTCCCTCTCTCTCACACACACTCCCTCTCACACTCCCTGTAATGCTATCCCTCTCTCGCACCAACACTCCCTCTCACGCTCCCTGTAATGTACTCCCTCTCTCACACCAACACTCCCTCTCACGCTCCCTGTAATGCTCTCCCTCTCTCACACCAACGGTCCCTCTCACACTCCCTGTAATGCACTCCCTCTCTCTCACACACGCTCCCTCCCACACTCCCTGTAATGCTCTCCCTCTCTCACACACACACTCCCTCTCACACTCCCTGTAATGCTCACCCTCTCTCACACACACACTCCGACTCCGACTCCGACACATAAACACACTCCCTGCCACACTCACCCTCACTTTCACACCCACTTTCACTCACACTCACACTAACTCTCGGGTGACACTGCTACAAAGAGAGAAGCATGCGACTTATATTGTCACACTCCCTTCTCTCACATCCACCCTGCCCTCGCTAACAGTGATACTCTCAATCTCTCATTCTCACACTAGCCTTTCACACCAACACTCACTCTCTCATTTTCCCTGTCACACTCGCACCCGGTCTCCCTCTCATTCTCTCACAGGACGGCGGGGTAGCCCAGTGGTCCAGGCGTTCGCTCGTCACGTCGAAGACCCGGGTTCGATTCCCCAAATGGGCACAATGTGTGAAGCCCATTTCTGGTGTGGTTTCCCCCGCCGTGATATTGCTGAAATATTGATAAAAGCGGCGTAAAACTAAACTCACTCACACCCACACTCAATCTCTCCCTTCCCCTCCTACCATCATGGCGGCATTTCGTGCTTGGCTACATGTAACTGAAATAAACAACTATGAGATACCCTGGTAGCCGGCATGTGATGCTTATCAAAACGTGAATTTTTACCATATGTTATTTGACAAATATCATATTTCGACAAAAAGAAATCATACGTGAACAGGTCAACCTAAGTACAACAGTTGGTACAGCAACTGTTCATGTTTATATATAAACATATATGTATATACATGCAAAAATATTTTACATATTTTAAGTCTCTATGATATCCATATTCATTATTAATAAAATCATTTACTCAGTTGAAATAGACGGATTCTATTTCTCAATTATAGATCATCGGCTTATTTAGGATTAGCATTCAGGGTCAGAAGTGTGTGTGTGTGTGTGTGTGTGTGTGTGTGTGTGTGTGTGTGTGTGCGTGCGTGCGTGCGTGCGTGGGTGGGTGGGTGCGTGCGTGCGTGCGTGTATTTATACACAGTGACAAAATATCACTAGAACAATTATGGCAACTATGACATTATCAAGTGCGGTCATTTTCCTGATTCTGGCATACAATATACAAGAAATCAGATGAGCATCAATAACCATGCACACTGCCACTCTCTGGTGAAACAATACAATCACTGACCCTCTTCGTCATTGACTGTATCAGACGTTGAATTTAAAACGTTGATGTAGTGCGTTCAATTCTTGATGTACGGCTTATTCCAAAACATCAAGATTGTGTACTTGGGGAACCCTCTGGTGTATTCTGCGATACATAATGTCCCGAGCGTGCTTTATTGTATTGAGATCTGGACTCATCCTGGCGGCAAGGTAGAGTTGCTATCGCCTCTTGGCGTAAGACATCACCAACGGCACATGCAGATGTGGCCAAACATTGTCGTCCATAAAGACCGGCCTTGCGTTCAGAGGATGGTCATCGATATGTGGTACAACAACCCCGTCTAGGATGTCAGTGATTTACCGCTGCCCATTCAGATGTTGTCTGATTGTCACAAGGAGAAGTTTCGAGCATTCTGAGAGGCACCCCCATACCAACAATGAAAGCAAGTGTACTTGCTCCAAATTATTCCGTTGTGCAGTGTGTCTGCGGCGCCATCAGCCATGAACGAGGAAATCGACTTTAGTCCGACCAGTGAACTCTTCCCGGTGACATCCATTTCCAGTGACGTCGAGCTTGACACCAAGTTAGTTCTTTGTGCTATGTGGATAACAACGGACGTCTGATCGGTCATCTGCCTCTATACCTGGCCGATGTTAGACGATTTTGGGCCGTTCCGTGGGACCGACGGTGTTAAAACGACTGTTTTCAACACGCCACTTGCCATGAACGGATGACGTAAGTGATTCTCGTGGTCGACCGGAACTGACGGCCCTTGACGTCATCAGTTTGCTGGCCCGTCTGCTGAGAGATGGATCACGACCAACATCTTTTGCAATATCACACACACACACACACACACACGCATACCAATAACTTGCCGTATTGGAGCAGTTGCCAATTAAGGAGCCCATTGATTGGCTTATCAACAAATAGATTTCCAAGCTCGTAGGGCATGCATATCTAACATCAATGTATGGTACGCCTGAAGAGTCAAAATAAGTCTCAAACCCCCTGAACCAAATTATCTCCCCTTCGACCCTGCGCTGCCAGTTATGCAAATTCACCAAGTGAATAAACACTAGTTTCCATGCTCTGAATTTCCCATCTCACTGTGTTTCCGTCAGAGTCCTGTACCTTCAGCGATTAAACGTTTGTGTTCATGAACAAATATACTGAGTCAAAAAAGAAACTTCACATTCCTTCTTCAGGGCACTATAAAAGAACAAGAGATGGTAAGATGGTTAAACTGTTATTATTTCATTGCTGAGATCTGTGTGATGTACTCGATACACTGACAGTGCTATAATCAGTTCCACTAGGCTACACCGCCGTTCCAAAACATGGGTATACAGAATGTCAAGTCACAAAACTAAAAATT